TGGGGGAAAGAGAGTGCTGTGTTTACTGCAAAAGTGAAGTAGCCTTAGGCTCAAAGGCAGAATTCTCACTCTTATGAATGTCATTTGAAAGTGATGCAGGACACAGGACAGAGCTTTCCTGGAGAAAATTTGAGCCATTAAATATCTCCCACTCCCTAAAACAGTTTGCCACTCAAAAGACTTGCTGCCTCCAGCTTCCTGTGAATATGTGCTTTGTGCAGAGTTGTCTGCCCTGTGGAGAACTGCTGTCCTTGGGAGTGGCTACTCCCCTGCTTACCCTTTGGAAAGATGTCCCTGGCTGAGGCAGAGCTGGCAGGCTGAGGAAGAGCTTATTAGGGACTGGATAGGTGACGGCTGTGCAGAGGGAGAATAGCAGTAACTGGGGCATGACAGGGACAGTGGCACTTCAACTGCAGTAACTTCATGAGTGGCAGCTGCTTTTGCTGCTTGCTTCCCAGGTTGTGCGTGCATGTGTTCGTGTGTGTCGAGGGAGGGATGCTGTCCCCAGAGCTCTCCATTCTCCCCTAGTCTCCTGGGTGACATGTTTCCATGCATGTGGGGCATCTCTCCTGCCCCAGCCACTGGCTCCCTCCATCCCTGGAATTCCTGTCAGATGATTTAGAGAGAACGGAGTCTCCCTTCCTCATCTCATTCTCTACACATCCCTCCTCACCTCTCTCCTGCTCTCTCCTTGTTTGCTGCACAGAATCTGCCATGCTGTTTCAACTATGGCTTCTCACACCTGAATGCACTAGAAGAGCCTTCAGGCTCGTAAACCCACAGGTCCCTGGGTATCCCTCTTCCACGTTTCTGACCCATTATAGTTCTAGCAAGTTCCCAGGTAGCTTTGTTACTTATGCACCAATTCCTCTCTGAGAGCTACAGGTGGGCAGGATCAAGAACCAGTCCTGGGACCCCCACAGTCTCGGCCACTCCTGCACCACCGTGCCTGACCACTGGCTCTTCCCTGACCAGCACCCGGAGAAGTTGGCCTCGTTGCCTGCTCTGCATGCCCTTTCCCTTTGGATTTTCACCTGTTGAACACTTGCTCATTTGTTTTTCAGGGCCCAGCTCACAGGGATTGCAGTTTTTTGCAAGGTTCTCTCTCTTTCATCACAGTCAGAATTAATGAAGCCTCTTTTAAAAGATTAATTGGGTTTTTATTCAATCACCCATTTATTAATGTGATTAGCAATGATTGGTTCTTAGCTCTTTTGCCCAGCCATCTGCAAAAAGAGAGGCCCTTTTAAAAATGACCCTTGGTGTAAGGCAGCTATGGTTGCGTTTAAGGAGAATCGTTTACTGATGGAGTAAGTACATTTTGTGTAAGCAGTACATGTGTAAAGCCAGTCAAAAGGATGGGTAGGTAGTCTGGGAAGCAGCTGCTACTCTCTGCCACTGAGCCCTCCGCTTTCACGCTCCTTCCTCCATGTAGCGCTGTTCTCATGGCTCGGCAGCCTGTCCTTTCCTGGACTGACAGACTCTCCTAGCTTTGATCCAAAGCCTGGGGTGAAAACTTTCCAGCTGCAGCAAGAAAGGGCATTCCTGGGAATGATGGGAGCAGCTGGACGGCAGCTGCTGCTGGTGTGTGAGTGTGCTGCATGGCCAGCCATCCGGCAGGCCATCGACATCCGGCCCCCCCGACCCTTCTCCTGCTTCCTGCTGCATCTTCTCTTCTCCCGCTGATTGACTGGGGGGTTAACTGAGCCTCACTTCTGAGTCTTTACTTTTGCCTCTGCATTTGTGGGCTCTCCAAGTCCATTTGCTGAGCAGCCAGGCCCAGCATTTCTCTGGTTGAAGGCAAGTCTGAATCTCCTCCCAAGGATGGAGATTCTGACTTAATGGGCCTGAGTCTGTTTCTGAGAAACCCCCACCCACTTGATCTCATGCTACTGGTCCACAGCACTTAGAATTTTTTGTATATAATTATTTTATGTATATTGTTGTTTTGCCTGCATGTATGTCTATGTACCATGTGTATACCTGGTGCCAGAAGAGGGTGTTGGATCTCTTGGACCTGGAGTTGTAGCAGTTGTGAGCCTCCTTGTAGGTTCTAGGAATTGAACCCAGGCCCTCTAGAAGAGCAGTCAGTGCTCTTAACCACTAAACCAGCCACCTCTCCAGACTTATGATTTATTTTAGTGTATGTGTCTGTCTGTCGGTGTGTGTGCGTGTGCATGTGTGTATGGGGTAGAGAAAGTAGGTATGTGACATAGCACACCCGTGGAGGTTGGACAACTGATGGGAGTCAGTTCTTTGCAACCTTGGGTTTGAACTCAGGTCTCCAGGTTTGGTAGCAGGTGCCCTTATCCTCTTAGCAACTTGATGACACTATCTACAGCACTTTTTAAAAAGTTCAGTTGCCACTTATATCAGTGTCCCATCTAATTATGAGCTTTGATATTGGGACCAGAAATAGAAACCAGAAGGGAATAAGAAGAGCTAAAACTTCCCTAGTATTCAGGGGACACCCAGCCTGGTACTAAACTCTATAGCTACTGCATTTAATCTGTGGGCCACTCAGGGTGAATTAGATGCACACTTCTGGTGCTCTTATTTGCACATGAAAACACTGGTCCTTAAAAAGTCCAGGCTGTCCTAACTGTGGAGAGAGATGAGGCTGGCAGACGCACCTTGCCCTGGGCAATGCTGAAACAGGCTTGTGAATGCTTCCTAATTAGCTGTGGAGAGTCCTAGCTCCTCCAGGCTTCAGGACATGTCCCCATACCCCTGAAATATGGGAGGAAATACAGAGCTTACAGTAAGAGCTGACCCCCTGCCCATAGTCAGACATTCACCAGATTTCAAAAGGGCCCCTCTTTTAAGCTCCCCAACACTTCATAATATTTTGACATGGGATGGCAAAAAAAGAAAAATTGGAAATGCTTTGAAATATTTCTCTTCTTTGGCTTCTGGTTTTCTGACCATGTGACTGAACTGAAGTTGAGTCATAGGATTCCAGTTTAACATATGCGGTTACTATAGCAATTGAGGTTTCCTTAGTAACAGTTGCAAAAATAATCTGGCCCCAATTAATAATACATTTTAAAGCTCTTTCTACTCCACACAGAACAACCCAGTTCATTTGGCCACACACCAGCTAATTCAGGTGGTGTTGTCTGCACTGATTGAGATACCATTTGCATGTGGTGAATTGGGTCGGAAAGGGATGAAAGGGAACAGGTTGTTTCAGGCCTCACAGGAGTCCACTCAGAAAAGTTGACCAGCAGGCTGATGCCAGCCCAGTCTCCAGGATTCCCAGTGTGCCCCGAAGGACTTTGTATTTGAAGAAAGGAGAAAGTGGAAGACTGGAGAAAATAGATTTAACTAGAGCATGAGGCCATGGCCCATCTTGATGAGTTCTCCATGGCTCGAGGTCTGTGTGTGAATTCAAAGGTCCTTCATGAGGAGAAAGTCCACCTCAGCAACACAAGACAGATCCTCAGAGATGCTTTTGTAGTAATGGTGCTTGTGTGGGACCCTGCTATTCCTTCTCATCAAAGCCTCAAATCCATCCTGAATATTTGTCTGTGTGTTACCCGACACAGAGGAGCCGTTTATGGATGTCAAAGCTCTCTTTCCTCACATACGGGACTCAGCCCTTGAAACCTCTAATGAAACAGGCCAGATAGCTGGTCTGAATCCCAGGGACACAACCCTGGGCAGTTTCTGTGAATTCTAACTGCTGGACTCAAACCTTGAGGAAACAGGCTGCCCAGCCTGGCTTGGAGGTGGGCCTGGCCAGTCAGCAGAGGCCCTAGCTGTTTCCTTGCTGTTCGTCCTGTACTGTACCCTGTTTTTCTCAGCTGGCAAAGTGGTCTAGAACCAAGGGTGAAGAGAGGAGTAGGGTGAACCCCTGCTTTCATTATCAGTTCACTGAGAGAATTGCCTTGTCTTTTCTTCTTTTTGTTGTATTCTGTTTTTAGTAGGAAGAAGTAGGTTGTAGGGTAAGATTCTCCAGTTATCATCCTTAGATATATTCTACTAGAGTTTGGCTTCTTGGCATCTTAAAGGTGAATATCGTCTCTATTATCGAGCAGGGATATCTGAAGTTGGCCATCCCTATTACTATTATATAAAGTTAGCCAGATAATTCCTATTGCTTCTGGACTGAGATAGTAAGGGAAGTGAGGCTGGTGCTGGCTTGGCTCTGTCCATTACTGTCCTCTGAACTAACCTCCCATAACTGTAGCTACATTTCCAATATCCTAGCAAACATCAAGGGAGGGCTTTTTGCTTTCCAAAGCCTAGACACTGCTAGGCTTTGGGATACAGAAATGAGGAATTCCACCAGCAGTTAGCACTGTGAGGCTGGGACTATCCTACTCTCAGGGTGTACTCAGCTTTTTCAGCTTTACTGGGACAGTGGGTAATGGAAAATATCAGCTGGCTGAATGGAAAAGCCTGGTCTCTGTTTCTGGGAGCTTGGTCTAGGGGAAAGGAGAGATGGGGGTTGAGGGGGATACCAGCATGGGTATCAGAGGACAGCAAGAAAGGACCTTGCCTGGTGGGATGGGAGACAGAAAAGGTCAAGAGATTGAGTGGAGAGAAGAGTCTGGCAGGAAGGTAGCAGAAAAGACAGAACAACAGGGGCAGTGGCCAGAACTCAGGGTAAAGGGGGGGTCAGGGGAGCCAGAGGGTGGGGGGGGGCTGAGTCCTAGGAGATGAGTCAAGACAGGTAGACAGGGTCAAGTTCTGGAGGTGCTTTGTGCTGGCCAGACTTTTATTCTTTAGAGTCTATAGGCAATTGGGAGCCATTACACTTTTTAAGCAAGGTCAAGGTATGGGCAGATTGGCTTCTTAGCTGGGGGTGGGCAGTGGTGCAAGAAGAATGGACAGGGCACGGGAGGTGACAGGAGGCTAACACTGGGTGAGGTTTTGAAGGATGTTCATGGTATATTCCCTGTTGGACAGACCCAGTCTTTCAGCAAATGATCTTGGGATGGGCCTCATTTCCAGGACTGTGTCAGTCCTTCTAAGTTGCCTTCTTCCCTTCACAGTGACAAAGCTACAGGTGAGCAAGTCAAAGAGAACGCTCACACTGGTGGAAAACCGGCCAATTCAGCTGAACTGCTCAGTTAAGTCCCAGACCAGCCAGAACTCACACTTTGCCGTGCTGTGGTATGTTCACAAGCCCTCAGACGCAGATGGCAAGCTCATTCTCAAGACCACGCACAGCTCAGCCTTTGAGTATGGAACCTATGCTGAGGAGGAGGGCCTGAGAGGCCGGCTGCAGTTCGAGAGGCATGCATCCGGGGGCCTGTTCAGCCTCACTGTGCAGAGAGCTGAGGTCAGCGACAGTGGTAGCTACTACTGCCACGTGGAGGAATGGCTGCTGAGCCCCAACTATGCCTGGTACAAGCTGGCCGAGGAGGTTTCAGGGCGCACAGAGGTCACTGTGAAGCAGCCAGGTAAGAATGGGGAGAGTGGCTATCGTGGACATGTTGATTTCCTGTAGAGACCCCAGGGCCTGGGGAGCTCTCTACCACCCCCTTCCACTCCCACCCCCAGCACACACACACACACACACACACACACACACACACACACACACACACACACACACACACAGAGGCTGCCCTGGGTATGGTTGCAGGTACACAGACTGTCAATTCTGGTGCCCTGCAGGCCGTGTACTAGATCTGCTATGGTCCTGCTCCTGATGCTGATGGGATTCAAGAGCATCCTCAACTCTCTCATAGGAGCTTCTTCAATGAGATACTGAGGCCATCAAAGCAGTGGGACCAGGGATAGAAGTCCATATGTGGTCTGATACATTCCGGATGCAAGGACACCATTCCCTTCCTTTCCCTGAGGATGTCCTGTGTTCTGGGATCTGTCTGATCACACAGTGACATGTTCTAACTGTGCCACTGGTGCATAAAGCAGGAAGTCCATCATTGAGTGACTTGTGTGACTGTCACCATGGTCTGGGTTCTGACTGCCTGCCAGGTCACATTCTGATCATCTAAATTACTCAAGGTGCACTCAGACCCACTATGTAAACCAGGCAGGCCTTGACCTTGAAACCTTCTTGCTTCAGCCTCCCAAGTAGCTGTGATCGCAGCCTATGCTGCAGTGTGTCACTGGGAAGGGTCTTCTGAGAGTTGACTGACAGCTGCTGCCAGGCCCACCCGAGCTCTTACTTGCTCTGCCTCTGCCTTCTATCCCATCTTGTCTCCATTAGGATAATGTTACTTTTGCCCCTCTGATCCCTACCTCCCAAGGATGATGTTATTTTTGCCCCTCTGATCCCCACCTCCCAAGATCTCTTCTCTAGTCACCAGTCTTTTTCCTTTCCTCCTTTGGTTTGATGCCAAGAAGGTCTTCGTAGGTCCTAAATATATTGAAGGAGTTTTGCTATCTAAGGCTGCTGTTAAGCTAAGTGAGAAGATACAAAAGGGCCACAAGGATCTCTGTCAACAAGCACAGTGTCATCTCTCCTATAGTGAATATTAGTACAGAAAACTCACAGGATGATGACCACAACAGCTTTTGCTTTTTCAGTTGGTTTTATGGTTTGCATCTCTTTCTTCCTTCCTTCCTTCCTTCCTTTCTTCCTTCCTTCCTTCCTTCCTTCCTTTCTTTCTTTCTTTCTTTCTTTCTTTCTTTCTTTTTGTTTCTTGTCCCTGTCCCCTTTTTCCTGATGAGAAAGCATACATTACTGAATCTTTGAAGGGGACCCACAATGGAAAACATCATAGTCTTGCAACTCAGATATAGTGCCAGCATTAAATCTTATGTGTATTTTGGCCAAACGGTTTAAAAATAGAATCATTTTGATTTTTAGCCTTTTCTTTGCAACAGCAATCTTCTGTGTGGTAGAAAACACTTCAGACAACACTGTAGTGAGGGTGAATGTGTCAGGCTCTCTTTCTCTTTACAAGTCACTCAGGGATGCTGGTCCCAAGGCTCTTTTGTGTGTTTATAGTCATGACTATTAGCATCTTCTGGTACAGAGGTTCATTGGGTCCTTTGTGAAGCTGCAGGGACACTATTGGCAAGAGGGATGGTTCTGACACATCTACCATGTAGGGAAACCTGTTTGTGGCTGTGTGCACCCCCAGCCCATCATAGCATCCTTTCTGTGCTGATGTCTCATTGTCCTCTCTCTGCCATGAAAACAAAGTGATTCGGAGGCCCATTGTCTGTGCATATTAAACTGAGTTTTCCTTGCCAGTTCCTTTATGGTTTTGGCTCTCTGCGTAGTCCTTCTATCATGTGGTCAGACTTAAAAGTTTACTCCTATCACAGGCCTGATGGTGTGGGCCTATAATCCTAGGTTCTCAGACAGCTGAGGTAGGAGGATCCCGAGTTCAAGGCCTATCAGGCTACAGAAGCTCACGGCTGGCATGGACAATGTAGTGAAACCTTGTCTCAAAACACAGTTTTCAAAGGGTTGGTGATTGTCCTACTTACTGTTCTATTGTGGTAAAGAGACACTGTGACCAAGGCAACTTACAAAGGAAAGCATTTAATTGGGAGCTTGTTTACAGTTTCAGAGAGTAAGTTCATGACAATCATGTTAGGGGAGCATGGCAGCAGGCAGACAGGCATGGTGCTGGAGCAGTAGGTGAAAGCTTACATCTGATCCACAAACCCCAGGCAGAGAGAGAGACTGGGAATGGTATAGGGTTTTGAAACCTCAGAGACCACACCCAGTGACACACCTCCTCTAGCAAGGACACCCCTCCTAATCTTTCTCAAATAATCCTACCGACTGGGAACCAAACATTCAAATATATAAGCCTATGGGTGCCATTTCCATTCAAAACACCAGAGTGTTATTTTGGTAGTATAGTACATGCTTAGCATGTATGGAACCCTGGATTCAACTTCAAGTTTACTTCTGCTGGGAGAGGGCTGTCACTCTGCCTTTGCCTGCCCCTTCTCTTGCTAGCTACCTCTTCAGTCAACCACACATTTTGAGGTCTGTGTTGTTAGACTTTTATTGCTCATTTGTCCTCCCCCAAACATCTAAACCCCTTAGGGAAGGGTTCTGAACCAGAGACAGACAATGTTGCTGAACATTGGACTCTCACAGCACCAGGGATTCAATGCATTTAGGGTGCCATGTTTGAGATATATGTATAAGATACTCTCTGTGATCCAAGGGCACCTGTTCAACCACCCTCTCGAGGGTGCTGTGACCTGCTTCCAGTTATGTCTCAGTGTCTTTTTCTCCCTGTTCAGACAGCCGCCTGAAGCTCAGCCAAGCCCAGGGGAACCTGTCTATTCTGGAGACCCGGCAGATACAGCTGGAGTGTGTGGTCCTGAACCGTACCAGCATGGCCTCCCAGCTCATGGTGGAATGGTTTGTATGGAAGCCCAACCATCCAGAGCGGGAAATAGTGGCCCACCTGAGCCGAGATGCTACCTTCCACTATGGTGAACAGGCCGCCAAAAACAACCTGAAGGGGCGGCTGCACCTGGAAAGCCCGTCTTCTGGCGTGTACAGGCTCTTCATCCAGAATGTGGCGGTCCAGGACAGTGGGACCTACAGCTGCCGAGTAGAGGAGTGGCTGCCCAGCCCCAGTGGTGTGTGGTATAAACGGGCTGAGGACACAGCTGGGCAGACAGTCGTCACAGTCATGCGACCTGGTAAGGCCCCTAGCCTTCCTTGTTTCCCTGTTAAAAATATTTTGGATGTTTGTATAGATCCTTATCTCATCACAGTGACCAAAGAAGCAGTTGAAGGAAGGAAGGGTTGGTTTGACAGAGACAGCCTGTCATGGTGGCATGTCATGATGGCAGGAGTATGAGGCAGCTGGTCCATTTCCATCAAGTTAGGAAGCTGAGGAACATGAATGCTGCTGCTTAGCTGGCACTCTCCCTTTTTACCTTTTGTCCACCAGGACCCCAGCCTGGAGGGTGGTGCTGCCCACATTCAGGGTAGGTGGGTCTTCCCTTCTTGGTGATCCTCTCTGGAAATGCCCTCTCAGACATGCTCAAAGGTGTGTCTCCTAAGTGATTCCAGATACAGTCAAGAATAAAGGTTAACTATACGGTCCCAAATAAAATTAGTTTATTTAAGAAATTATTTGTAGGGGCTGGAGAGATGGCTTAGCGGTTAACAGCACTGGTTGCTCTTCCAGAGGACCCAGGTTCAGTTCCCAGCACCCACGTGGCAGCTCACAGCTGTCTGTAACTCCAGATCCAGGGGGAGTCAGCACTCTCACACAAACAATGCACATAAAATAAAAATGAATAAATCCTTTTATTAAAAAAGGAAGAAATTACTTGCATTGAAGCATATGAACATTTATATTGTATATTCGTATTCTAAATTCTCTCAACTTGTTTTTCCTATGAATGGGAAATTGCACATCAGGCTTTCTCCTCAAGTGATTAGATTTCTTAATTAGAACAAAAGCCAGCAGTTAATTATTCTAGGTCATAAGAATATTTTCCTTTTAAAGCATCCATTCAGATTGGAACAGGTGGCTAATACGACAGAAACCTTGAAACAGTAGCTGTGAGTTCAGAAGTTATGCTGGTGGGTTTTCAGTGCAAAAGACTAGACTCTTTAAGCAGAAAGCAGCAAGTACCTCTAGCCTCCACCCTCACTTCTAGTCATTTTATTGGCACTAATGACTTTTCCATGTGGCCTTTTGTTCCTCTTGTCTCTATTGCCATTTCTAAAGTGTGTAAACGCATATAATTACTGGGTGCAATTATTGCTACATTTAACACATAATTAAGGCTAAGATGTGCAGAGTCCCCATGCCTCCTGCAGCATCATAGTGACACTGAACCTTATCAGAGCAAAGAGTCAACCATCCCTTAAGGACATGGCACGGAATTGAACTTGCAACATGTCTGTCAGTGCGAACGCCTAGCCTCGTATCTTCTGGGCATTTTGATGTTCACTCTCATGATCCTTGTACCATTGCCAGTTCTTCTCCTTGTGTCACATCTAATTTGGGCTGATGTTGGAGAGTCACAGCTGTGTTGTGCCCCATTCTGTCTCAGGAGAGGGGCATTGACTGACCTCACCTGTGTTGGTCTATGCTGGAGGAGAAATCCTCTCTGAGTTTCTGTTTTTTATGTACATAGTTTTGCTGCTGCTGCTGCTGCTGCTGCTGTTTGAAACCTTGCCTGGAGGCTGGTACTTGTCTTTCCCTGGAAGTAAAGCATAGAGAATGGCAGCTGAACACACTTCCCCCAACTCCCACCCATTTGGCAGATCACTGGGGAAGCCCCCTGTGGAGTGGGAGGAGACAGACATTTATGGAGAACCAGCTAGATCCCTGCCCATTAGATTGATGTTTAGTCTTTGTAAAACCCCAGTGGTAGATTTCTCTAACAAGGGAAATGAAGCCAGAAGGAAATTTCAGCACAGCTGATGAGAGCAGACAGAGTGGACACAAGTTTCCGTCCTGCCACATGAGTGATCCCAGTGTGGTCCCTGAGCCTGAGAGGTACACGGCTAGATCCCCCTCCACCTTCCCTCCTTCCTCCCCTCTCTCTCCCTTGCTTGTTTATGCATTTATTCAACTAACTTCCTTATGGAAGTGGTGAGACAAGGTCTCACTATGTAGCCCTGGCTGTCCTGGAATTCTTAGACCAGGCTAGCCTTGAATTTATAGAAATCTGCCTGCCTTTGCCTCCCAAGTGCAGGGATTAAAGATGTGGGCCACCATGCCCTACAAGAAAAATTTGTAATTTTATTTTCTGTGTATGAGTATTTTGTCTGTGTGTGTGTGTGTGTGTGTGTGTGTGTGTGTGAGAGAGAGAGAGAGAGAGAGAGAGAGAGAACTACATGTGTGCCTGGTACCCGCAGAGGTCAGCAGAAGGTATTGGATTTCCTGGAACTGTAGTTAAGGATGGCTGTAGGCCACCATGTATCTCCTGGAAATTGGGTCCCAGTCCTCCGCAAAAGCATCAAGTGTTCTTAACTATGGAGCCATCTCTCCAGCACCCCCCCTGCTTCTCCTGCAAACCCATGGCGTTTGCTTATTGGCATGAGTTCTGGGCAGCTTGAACTCAGGTCTGTGTGGCAAGCCCTTTCACCCTCTGAGCCACCTTCCTGGCCTGTCTTGCTTGTTTTGGGTAAATGAACCACCCTTTTCTCCCTTCTCTGTCCCTTGTCCCTCCCCAGATGCTGCCCTGCAGGTGGACACAGTAGTCCCCAATGCCACAGTGACTGAGAAGGCAGCCTTTCAACTAGACTGCAGCATTCTGTCTCGGTCAAGTCAGGACTCCCGCTTTGCTGTGGCCTGGTATTCTCTCAGGACTAAAGATGGAGGAAAAAGAGGCAGTCTTGGCATTGAAGAACAAGAGGAGGAGGAGGTATCGGAAGAGGAGGACAGTGAAGACGAAACAGAGAGGATAGCCCTGCTGAGCGTGGGTCCTGATGCTGTCTTTGGTCCTGAAGGCAGCCCTTGGGAGGGCAGGCTGCGTTTCCAGAGGCTCTCGCCCCTGTTGTACCGGCTCACGGTGCTTGAGGCAAGTCCCCATGACACAGGCAACTACTCCTGCCATGTGGAGGAGTGGCTGCCCAGCCCACAGAAGGAATGGTACCGGCTAACAGAGGAGGAGTCGGCCCCCATCGGCATCCGGGTTCTGGACACAAGTGAGTTTCTCCAGTTACAGAAGAGGCGTGTCACTGTTGTCCCTGCAGTGCCTAGAAAATAAATTTAGAGTGTAGTTGTGGGCTAATAGCACTTTTCCTAACTGCGGTGGGCATTTACTAGTAGGGTTTGAGATGTGGTAGAATTTGACACCCTCAGTTACCCATGGGGGAAAACAAACAAACAAGAAAAAACAGGGCTAGGAATTAGTGATGAGACACCATGTGGCTTTCATGATCAACTGACCTCTACCCGAGTCTGTCTCATTGTGCGAGTGTCTTGCTTGGCGTTTCTTTGTTACACATTAGAATGCCAAATCTGTCTGCAGTGACTTAGCAAGTGTTTCCAGGTTCACAGGCGGGAGCAAAGAAATAAAGCCTGCCAATCATGCCTTCCCTCATTTTTCTGGGCTACGTTTATTTTGGAGGCTGACTTAGGGGTGGCGTGGTCAATTTTGCCTGGTCACTGGGACTAGCTTAGGACAGAGCTGGGAGCGTTTGGAGACACAACAGCAGCCCGTTGCCTCAGAATGGCTCTGAACAGTTTCCTTTCTGTGAGAGCCTGGCTTCATTCTCTTCCATGTCCACCCTATGCAGCCAGACATTAACACTGGCAATGGCCCACAATGGTATGTGAGTTCATAGTGTTAAGCAAGTGTCTTTTCTAGTACAACTGTTCCCTGAAACAAGCAGGAAGGGAATGTGCTAGATTCCCCAAGATAGAAGTCTACAGTAGAACTAGGCACAGAAGACACAATACTCTTTTTACCATGAAAGAGGGTAAGAATGAATGCGAGTCAGCTTCTCTATCACCCTAGACACTGTCAAGTTCACGGTCAACAAGGTCAACTTTAGTGCATGGCTTTCCCAGCAGATGTAAGGGATCTCAGTGGAAATGGAGGCACTGCATCATTTGAACATAAGACGCATGAATACTTGGGGTGTTGTGAGGAAAATAAGAGGGGAAAAGCCTCCCAGTTTGGTGGCTAGGAGAATGTCTGGGGTTGCATCATCAGGGCAGGCCCATGTAGTCCAGGCTCTACCCTCATGGTTCCTTGTTGCCTTTCAGGTTCTACCCTGCAGTCGCTCATCTGCTCCAACGATGCACTCTTCTACTTCGTCTTCTTCTACCCTTTCCCCATCTTTGGCATCCTCATCATTACCATTCTGCTGGTGCGTTTCAAAAGCCGGAACTCCAGCAAGAACTCAGAGGGGAAGAATGGGGTGCCCCTGTTGTGGATCAAGGAGCCGCACCTCAACTATTCTCCAACTTGCCTGGAGCCCCCTGTGCTCAGCATCCATCCTGGAGCCATAGACTAAGGAGGGTGACCCCCAGCAGATGGTGCCCATGGCAGGGTCGGGTCAGAGGAGCCTCATTGCTTCGCGCTCTGTGATTAGACAGGTGACAGCACCCGAACTCTGCAGTTTCTCTGCAGGAACCAGTCAGACCTGGAACGTGTTGGAAGATCCAGTCACGGAGATGACTGCCTCCAGGCAGCAGTCCTGGTTAGCTGCTTGTAGCCAGGTGTTGTGATCCCAACGTCCTAGGTTTCTAGTTTTTGGTTTTGGTAATGTAGTGCGTAGCTCCAGGTGCCGCATCTACTCACCAGTCTGTGTAGTGTTTTCAGATCGGTGCTACGGGGTTTCCTGTTCTGTGTAATGTACTCTTTTAAGCCCCTTTGGTCCTCTCCATGTGGATCTCATAATGTTGTGGAAGAGTTTCTCTCACAACTGAAAAGCAACAGGAAGACGACTTTATAGTAACAAGAAATCTCTTCCAAGACATTTTTTTTTTTTTGTACATTTGAAAATGCCACCCATGGATCAAAATACACCCAAACTTTTTTTTTCTTTTTTTTTTTTTACTTTCTTAGCAAGACTTGAAAAATATGTGTAGCGTGGGCCCAATTTGTATCTTATCTTTTCCCTCAGCTGGAGTTGTTGGAGCCACTTTATAGTCAAGATGAAAGCATTGAATTTTGCTTCAAAGAACTGCACATGTGCAGAAGAAATCCTGCGGAACCTGGTTAGGATTAGATGGTGTCCAGCCAACCAGTCTGCTGGGGAGGTGAAAGGAGATCCTGTCCTTGCCAAAAGGAAAGAAAGAGAGAAAGAAAGAAGCAAGGCAATCTGGAGGATGGGTGGAGGGCTCCAGACAGTGCCCAGTGTCTGAGATTTGCCCTTAGCATAAGTATGTTTGTAGTGGCCAAAGCAGTGACTGGGGGAGGCGGGTGAGAAGCTGCCTATTGGCTTGACCGATGCCCCTGAGCAGGTAGCTTTCATCTGCAGGTGCTTTGCCAAATCTTAAAGGGGACGTGTCCAGTGACCCTGGAAGGGGCTTCCCTGAGTGGAGCACTGTGGCAAAATGCCCACTGTGCGTGGCCCCATGGAGGGTGCTGAGCTCTCATACTGAGCTTGGGAGGAGTGGATGCGGCCAGGGGAGGGGCTGTCTCTAGAGCCTGATGTTGGAGAGGCTGGAGGAATTCTTACCTCTCTCTGTCTTCCTTCCAGGAGATAATGAGGTCTTTCTTACAATCATTACTCCCCCCCCCCCATCTCACTGCTGTGGGATATTGTCCTAGGAGAGGACCAGGTGCAGCCCTTTGTGACCCTTGCTGTCCCCTAGTCTCAACAGACAAGGTAGCACAGGTGTTGAGTCAGGGGTTGTCCCTTCCCTTTGTTGGAGAGAGAGAGAAAGAGGGAGAGAGAGAAAGAGAGGGGGGAGTGTGTGTGTGTGTGTGTGTGTGTGTGTGTGTGTGTGTGTGTTTAGGTTGTCTGGTTGTACTGGTGGCTTTTAATTTTCAGCCAACAGTTCCAAAATCAACTGCTTCCACTCAGTTAGGTCAGATGTTTAGCTGCCCTAGAGCTTCATCAATTACAAATCCTTCCCTTTTGCCTTTTGCTCACTCTGAAGATCTTGTGAAGACTGCCCTCTGCCCCCATCCTCACCAGCCATACCTTCCCCTGGGAATTTGCAACCGGAATCCCAAGATAGAGCCCCTTGGAAAAAGGCACCCAAGATTGTGGAAGTAAATCTAACAAGAACAAACAGACAACACAGAGGCTGTTCCAGTGTCTTCCAGGACACTGGGCCATGTGGTTACAGGTCCTTTCAAGGGGTCCACTGGGTGTAAGCTGAGTGCAGGGTGGCAGAGGGGGTGGAGGGGAGGGGAGGCAAGACAAACTTTCCTGTTCCCTTTTGGTCCTCTAGTTCTCTCTCTGAGAAGTTTTTAGGCACCACCACCTTAATCCCTCGGGTGCCTACCCTGCTGATTCTCATTTATGCTGCATCAACACATCAGAGGGACCAAATTGGCTCAGTCACAAAGAAAGAATGTCTTTTGTTCTGTCCCTTCCTTTCGTGGGTGTGGGCTCTTGGTGGGGCTCTTGGTGGGTAATTGCTGACTCCTGGTTTTTAGGCTGAGTCAACCAGGGAGATTGACTCTGCCTCTGAATGGAAAAACAGAAAATGATGCTGCATGGAAATACGTGAAGCAGTTGCAGGAGTTTGCAAGGAGAAAAGAAACCGAAGTCAGTATTTTAACAACTGCTTTGTGTGTGTATGTTCTGCGGGTCTGGGGGATTCAATCAAAGGTTGAACTCTGGGCTTTCTATGAAAAACAAAAAACAAAAAACAAAAACGAACCCGGGGCCTCTCTCTGGCTAGGTCTATGGACATGTGTTGTTAGATGAATGGTGATGGTGCCCTCCAGTGGCTGGAAGACCTCACTGCACATTGTGTGCTGAGGCTTTGGTCTTCCGAGTTCAGAGAGAAAAGGACTCACAGAGAGAGACTCCTGACACCTATCTGCTCCACTGTGCTAGGCATGTCCCAGGACACTATACGACCACACCCTCTCTCACCAGGGTGTTTCTGTAGCAAGTCTTCATATTCGTTTCAAACAATGGTTTCTCTGCATTCATTGTTGGAGAGATGGGGTGAGAAGACTGTCCGTGCATGAAGTAGAGAACTGTTGGTTTGTTTCATTTTTTTAAAAGGAGAAACTTATTTGTAAGCCGCTGCACTAAGACATTTTATATACACTGCAGAGACCTGGAGTAAATTATGTTGACAATACGCTGTTTACATTTTCTGGAGTCTGACGGTCTCCTGCCCCTCACCTCCAGCTGTGGGACTGTGCACGGTGGGTGGCCTGGAGTTCTGCCCTTGGCACTGATGTTCCAGATTCGAGTTTTACAAGCTGTAGCTTTTCTATGCATGCCCTCACCCAGTCTAAATTATGTTTTTGTACAAATGATAAAAAATCTTTCTCAAGACACTTTTGCCACATGCTGAAATGTATTACAACTCTACACCTACACCATTGACGCTGCCCCAGGAGCTGTGACACATTCAGCCTGGGGCCCTGTTAGGCAGACCAAGAAGCTAACATTGCTATGGGTCATGTGACTGGTTTTTCTTTGGTGGGCAATTTATGGTAAAAAGACAACGATGAAAAGAACCTGCCAGCTCACTGGGGCCTCTGCCGCTGACCCCACTGTCCCTTCTCAAGCCCCGTTAGCATCCACGAATGGAAGTGACCAGCAGGCATTTCTTGGGGAAACACAAGTCTGGGAGCTGGACAGTCCCAGGCAGTGAGACTGAGCACCATCGGGCTGTGAGTGACGACAGAGATGCCAGCTGAGAAGCACTGGTGTAATGTAGGCTCCGGCATTGATCACAATTTGTTGGGTTTTTACAATTCATAGAAGATGCGGTGGAGGAGGGGACAGAAGGCTGAAAGCAGCTCCTCCCATGCTCTCCCCTCTTCATCTCCCCTCCCTCCCACCTCCCATTTTCAGTCGCCCTCCCAAGGCTCAGCCATGTGCTTTCCTCTGCTCTTAGTCCCATTTGCTGCGTTCTTATCACCTTTGCGCAGCTGCTAGCTTGGCCGCGGTTAAAACTGTCACTGCTTATCCCTTAGGTGCCCACAATGGTTCCATGTTGAGTCTTACACATTATTTTTGCTTATGAGGTGAAAACGTGACTATTTCTTAGGTACCCACAAATGGTTCCCCGTTAAGTCTTACACATTATTTTTGCATGATCCCCTCCCCCAAATGCCCTCTTTCTACCAGGAACGGAATTTTAAAAAGGCGACTATTATGGAATAAGATTACCCCTATTAAGCCCTGCGGCTAAATGAACACATGTACCGCCCCATGAGGCAAATGATACAAATGACCACCTGTGTGTTTGGGCTTAGGGGCTGTGTCTTGTCACTGTGTCCCAGATTCCAACACTTTAATTCCAAGTATTTGGCAAAAACTGAAGTCCAGAGCAACAGAGAGTGGCATGCCCCAAAGTGTGGTCCAAGCCTCTTGGGCCTTTTTTTTTTTTTCTTTCTTATCCACTATTTCCCACAGTGACAAGAAGGAAAAACAGGACCACACAATGTCAGTCACAGGATGAACACACATCAAGCAATCCTTTTAGAAAGAGAAGTAGAGACATTTTTCAGCATGTGAAAGGAACTTGTTGGCTCTGCCAAATGCATTATGGGTATCCTGAACCACGTTTGATTTCTGAAGTCGGCTAGGCAGAGCCCGTTGGCATATCTAGAGATTCTCAATGAAAACAGCCTTTCTCCTAATAAAAGGGCTGGCACTGGCCTCTGGTCAGAGTGCAATCAAGGAAGGTCTAACAAGTCCACCCTCACCCAGTACGTGGAGACCATGACCCAAGGCACTTCCCCAGCCCTAGATGATGGGGCTGTCTGTTCTGAAGCTTGCCTCTGCCTATACTGACAGCCACTGAAGCTCAGTCCCAAAGCCCCATTCATTTCAGACCTGTGTGGCAGGGCAAAGGGGAGGCTTTGGACTTGGCCCCTCACTGTGTCTTAGGCAAGCCATTTATCTTCTCCAAGCCAGTTTTCTTGAAATAAAGATAGGATCAGAAATCCTGTGAAAACCAGCCAGGTGATATGCTTATCCTACACACACACACACATACACACACACACACACACACACACACACACACCCCACACTCATCGTTCTTCCCCAGCTCCAAGACAGACTTCTGACAGCTGGCTGGCATATGAAGTCTGACCTCTCCTGCCTTCCCAGGTGGGACATTCTGACTGTCAAGGGTGGGGGAGAGAATTTATTTCCTCCCTTTCTGGGCCACACCTTGCACCTGCCTGGTTCCCAGGATCTACAGGTGATATAAAGTAGGTTTCATAGGGTGGGGCTTCAGTCCCAGGAGTTCACTGACAGAAAGACCTTTAAGATTTTATGGCTAGTTTGAGACATGGTTCCCTGAATCCCTGTGTGACTGGGCCCCCACCTGAGGGTAAAGGAGATGATAGCGAGAAGCA